CGGACATATATTTTAAGATATCACAATTCAGTAAATGGTATTATATAATAAACAATGTTCTTTCTCTCTCTTATTGATATATCAAGCCAAGCGAATTAAATTGCATACAATAATACAACAAACTTTTTTTTTTCTACAAAATATCAAAATTCTATACACATACACATGCATAATTTTTAAATTAAATAATTTTTAATTCTATTAAATTTGTTATAATAAACTTACACACACACACACACACACACACACACACAAAAGATACTCAGAAATTGACATAAATAATAGAAGAAGCTGAAACAAAATATTAAAGATCAAGATCAATTGAAATTGTTACGATCGATGCGTTTATTATCTATTTAGTTCCTATTAACTTAAAAGTGACGATCCGTCTATTATTGCGAAAAGGGGTACTAGCTTGAAGTGCGGCGGGGATTTCTACACCGATACGGAAACGTACTCGGCGTACGTGCCTTATGAGGGCCAGCATCGTGCCGAGCTTGCGCGTCGACCCACGTCCTTGAAGATGGAGGGTGACCTGGACACCATGACAGAGAAATGCGAGAAATTTATCGAGTGGCTCAATGTTAGTCGACCGGAACTCTTGCGTATACCTACTCATCTGAAGATGGAGGGCGAGTTGGAGACATCGACGGAAAATCAGGACAAGTACATTCCGTTTGTGGGTGCGCGGAGACCGGAATTATTGAGACGAAGTACAAATTTGAAGCTCGAGGGAGATACCTACTTTGTACCAGAATACACCGATGTGTTCAGAGATTATAATATCAAAGGTAATAATATTAAATTTTGAAAAAAATGCGACAAATAAATTGAATAGAAAAAGTTTATTTAAAACATTGTAGTTGAAAGTATTTTTATATGATTACGAATTAAATAATGAAAAAATGATCGTTCAAAATATGCTTAGCGAGATATACGGTAGCTTCTATACACTTTGCTGCCATTTCTTTTTTTTATACTTTATATAATTTTTATATATAGATAGATTGCAGCCGAAGAAGCCACAAACGCATTTAAAAACAGAGGGTGATTTTTTCCAAAACACAGAGAGCACTGAAAATTTTGTTTACCCTCACATTAAGCAGACGCAAGAAATAGACGCTAAACAGATTAAAGACGATGAAGAAGACAAATGGATAGACGATCCAGAGGAGAAAAAACGGAAGGACGAAGAGATGAGGATGTTGGTGTCAAAGTTGGAAGATCTAAATGGTCGGCCGCTCGAAATTCCGGAATATCGAGATGCGTACAAGGTATTTATTCTGTGCTATCTCTCTATTATTAAAATTATAATTATTCGCATTTAAAGCAAATTTTCGATTAAATTCTAGATTTATCTCTTTCTATTTAAGTATTGTAATAAATGTGATAACTTTTTTTGCGTATTCATCTATTATTAAATCTGATTAAGTCATTAATAATTATAAGTTTTATTTAATTTTATCTATATCTAATCTATATATAAAAAATTATTCAAGATTCAGACGCAAAAATTCATCTGTTAGAAACAAAGTAAGAAAGAAATATAAGAAATTAGAAAAAGGATATATCAAAATTTAATAGTCATAAAGATGCGTGAAAAACATTCGAAAGAAAAAAAAGACATCTATACTTTGGTCGTGTGCATTATATGCAAAATGAATGTATGATTACAATTATTATAGGATTTTCCACGCGAACGGCCAAAGCTCGCAAAGCCGGATGACGAGATAGGTCGCGCTGATGGCTCAAAGGTATCTTCACCGTCGCGCTCTAAATTTTTTATGAAGATCGATCAAGATCCAGAGTATCAATCAAAGTATTTGGACTATCCACGGGATCGTCCCATCTATCGTAAGCCACCGTCGATGTTGCGACCGACAAATGTCTCCTCTTCCGGTCGCAGTAGCGCGTGCTTTGGCAAATCAATTCATCGTCAGGAATGTCGTACATTCGAGTACGAACCTACAAGCGAGGTGAGATCTCAATACGTTCCTTACGGATATATACCGAGGGTCGAAACACTGAAGATGCCGGCGAATCTACGTTTGGAGGGTACTTTTGATCTTCAACCTGAGTACAGAAACGCTTATTGCGCGAAATACGATCGTCAGGGCTGCGCGGAACCTAAAACAATCTATAGTAGAGGCGATCATAGCCCAAGCGCTATGAAAAGAAGAGAACATTATTGGTTAAGGGGAAACGATAGTGATCAGTGCGATAAAAGGATCGCTGCTCAAGAACAAAATGCTTTTTGTATATTGGACACGCGCATGCATGAGGAGAATGTCACTGGAAAACCACCGCCCGCCAGCAGAAGGTACGTTTAAATCTGTCATTTTCTAAAAAAATAAAAATAAAAATTCTCGGATCGCTCGTTGTGAGTTAAATTATTATTTTAAAATCGGAAATATTTATCTTGGATTGAAACCTCAAAAATTTTAAATTTTGGAAAGCAATTTTGAATTCGAAAACCCCTTTCCACTTTTTTAAAAGCAAAAATTTTTGAAATTTTGAAACAATCTCAATTTTTTCAGAAGTTCTAGATTGTCTCAAGCCACGATGGCGCCGAGACCGACGCAGCTAGAGCTGGCGGATCGCGCGATTGCCACGAGAATCTCGCGATCTCCCAGTCCAACATATCGATTACACGTTTGTGACGTCGACAATGAGCCGCGAGGTTTCGGTCAACATAGACAGTCTTCCGAAAGAGTTGTTCGCAGTCCTTCAGTCGACCGTATGATTCAGAACGATATCACCAGACCTTATTCGCCTAGCTTCGGCAGGGACAGGCAGAATCGTCGCATCAATGATCAACCGTTCGTAGTTCTAGATAACGCCTCGAAAAACGTGTCAGGTAGAAGCGCGGTTCGCAGAAAATATCACACCGACAGAAATGTTGGTGCCGATGTTATGGTACCACCGATTTCCCGAGGAAGACCTAGAACTCCGACCAGATGGATGCCACCGTGGTACGACAATACGAATACGATCTAGAACTGTCGATCAGTGGCGAGAACTCGTTGAAAAAATGTATACAAAAAATGTAATCTGCCTAAAATTTTTACATTATACGATGAATATAAAACCAGCGACAAATGGTGGACACACTGCCTATAATTTTGTACGCAAAATAACTGAAATCAATCGATGAAATCAATTCTTGAACATTTACGTATAATATCTTACAACGACTATTAATCTTCCTCGTAAAGAGTCTTGAAACAAGTGTTACGAAAATCACATTTTCCGTAATGTAGTGTATATAAGTTGATCCCGTCGTAATCATATCGCATTTATCTAACGCTAAATGGGATTGTTTTACTCTCAGTACGAAATAAAATCGTGTGCGATTTTTTTTGTACAAAAGAAACAAAACTCATAATTAATTACATTCAGGGCTAAATGTAGAATATATGAATAGATTTATATATATTCATGTTACAAACTAAATAGTTATATATTTTACAGTTATCTTAACGCATAACAGAAATTTATTTAAACCATGAATAGCGAACACGTGGGGATATTTCTCTTATTGGTTTCAAGAATATAAAATAATTGTAATTGAGAGAATTATTATCCAAGTTCGAGAATTTTGAAAAAATTGTATTTCATACGATTATAAAATTTAATCTTTTAACTGGTGCTCTTATTCGATATGCCGATTATACGTTAATTGTAATGTATAACTACACAATAGATAACAATGAGATATACTCGTGCTATATATACTGCCAATATTTGTTAATCAATACGATTAAATATATACGAACGATGCCTAGTTTTACAAGGCCTTTTTTTGATGCCTCATATCGTGGATTAATATATTATATAATTGCATTGTTGCTCTGTTGTCATACCGCGTCGCGGAAGAATAAATGATAATTCGTAAGAAATAAATCTGTTGGTAATATCGATCAAATAGTATTCCGTAATTATAGTTAATTATCAATGCTATAATTTAAGTATTTTACTAAAATACAATATGTGTGTCTAAAAGTATTGATTGATGATTATATCAATCTTATAACTTTATCTTTAATTATAATTATCAATTTTTTTTATTTATTTAAAATTATTTAATTAATATCATTAATTTATCGTAATTATCGTTAATTTTCTAAAGAATAAAAAAGTCGTAAGTTAGGATGTATTCTGTTTGACACTACGAAAATTTTAAATTTGTTTAATACTATCATCTGGAAGTAACAAAAGGGGCAAAGATTTCTTTGCTTTGATTAGTCAATTAAACACTTTGAAACTTTTGTTCGATAGCGTTAAATGGAGCGCATTCTTAAGATACTTTTTCATTAACTTCGACGAAAAAAAATCGAAGAGGATCGCGTTCCAAGTTCCAATGCATCTCGCTTGTCTCTATCTCTATGTCTATGATATTGATCGGACATCAATATGAAAAGATCTTTAGAATCCATATTTTCTATTGGATATCGGACTTTTATACATTGGGCATTGGACTGTCGGATTCGGTGTGTGAATTTTTCACAAAATCTTTTTGTCATCAATACTATTTCAATAGTGTTCGATAGTGTAGTGAAATTCGCATGGACATCGAGGGGCGCATTCCACTTAACGATCGCAACGCTCACGGTATTATTTCATCCTTATTGTTCACCGAAAGTTAAACAAAGACAGATAATACTCGCGAGCGTTAAATGGTACGCGCCCAATCTTATCAATCGGATTCACTTTTTCACGCATGCGCGACGTAACGATGGCGAATACAGCACGTGTATCGTGTATGTATGGATACCTCAGTTTTGGCGGGATTTCACACAAGATAGATTAAATAGCTACGTAAATAAATAAATTAATTAATTTGTGCATATATTTTTTTATTTTATGTTTTTAATCAATTTTCTCAAAATTTCTAAACTTTTAAAAACGATTAAACAGGGACCATACAGGACTTCATTTCATACTTGATTGATATCATATTCAATGCGCATGCGCGAAAAAGGGAACCTAACATACTTTGTCCACGTCACTTACATCTCACAACTCAGCAACCCACATCCAAGTCAGTTCAAGTTCACACGTTTGCGTTCTTGGCGTTCTCGTGTCATAACCTAAGTGATCTGTCACTCGAAATCCGATAATAATCGATGAATGAGACGTTCACGCAGATGACAAATTATCTGAATATTTTCTCATAAATAAGGTACTTGATAAGGTCATGCACACGCAAGTCGATCAAGATTGTGCAACGTGAAATGTAATCGGCAATAATATCCTAAACATGGACGAGTAATGTACATTGTTTTCTTTTTTTTTTACGAATATAGTTTAACAAAATGCATTGGACATTGTGCGCATTGATAATTGGATCGTTCGGATGCAAATATATTCATGCTCAAGCGCAAAGAGTCGCGCCGGGTGTACCGCCTCAGCATTATCAGCAGGTAAACTATGTTTTTGAATATTGCGTTAGCAAACATATGGTTCAATAAAACGATATTTGATAGCATGTGACATTGAAGTTGATTCGAATCTGTTTTGACACGACTTAATATTTTTTATGTATATACATTGTGTTTTAATATACTACTTTCTGCTCTCTCTGTTTTAGCCTGTTCACCACGTACCGCAACAACATATGCAACAAATTCCACAACAGCAACAAGTAAATTTTTTCAGTTATAACTCAATTATATGTTGCCCATAATACCGCTATTACAGATTCATTTCTGTGCCATTGTCTTTTCCTTTTTAAGTAGTTCTTATTTAATTTAATTTTCAATAACTCAATTTTTCAAAATTTTATTCCAGTATCAACAAGTACCCGTACAACAACAAGTACCTGTCCAGCAAATGCCAGTGCAACAACAGGTCCCTGTCCAGCAAGTCCCGGTACAACAACAGGTCCCTGTCCAGCAAGTACCAATGCAACAGGTGCCCATGCAACAAGTACCAATTCAACAGCAACCTCAGGTTCAACAAGGACATGGACATGTACATGGTCATGGACAATCTCAAATACTTAATACTGCCAATATAGCTCATGAAAAAGAGTAAGTATCGACTAGAGAAATTCATACAAAAAAAATTGATAATTTTGTTTACTTATATTAATTATTTACTAAAGTAACATTACTAAAGTATATGGAATGTTAATTAACTTTAAAGTTCAGTTTAATAAATTTAACCATTTAAGAATCTAAGCATCAAGCATCTAAGAATTTTATATTCTTTTAAATTTTTTGGATACATATTTTAATTGTCAAGGTATATGTTATGAGAAAATATTCTTTCTTTCTTCCTATTAGACATATTGCAGAGCATGCCGACGTTCCACTAGATACCAACAAGATGACAGAGCAGGAGTTGCAGTTTCACTATTTTAAAATGCATGATGCAGATAATAATAATAAATTAGATGGTTGCGAACTCATCAAATCTCTTATACATTGGCATGGTATACAGTACTTTATCTATCTTTCCTTTTCTTATTACATTCTCTCTAATGCAATTTAAATAAGTGAAAGAATTTACAGAATAAATTTATATATATTTTTATTATATGTCCATTAGAACAAGATAGTGTGGAAGGTACGCAACGTAACAAGTTGTTCAACGATGAGGAATTGGTACAATTGATAGATCCAATACTTAGCATGGATGATTCTAACAACGATGGCTACATTGACTATCCTGAATTTATACAAGCCCAACAGAACGCTGCAGCAGTTAACGTGCGTCCATAATAGTGAATCTCTCATAACTTGGTATAAACTTTCATTAAAAATAAAATGTATAAAAGTTGTCTATGGAGAAAATCTTTATTATTATTATGGATGTTTCTTCAATAATACAATATTGACATTGTGTTGTTTATACAATAAGCCGAGATTTATTATTTGTGAGATTTATTTTTCATTAATTTAATCAGTATATATGGAATATAAGGGAAGAGAAAAGCATAATATCGTAAGATATTGTATAATTAAAAGATAATTTAGAGATATGTGGAACTCTTCCTTTTGATTACTTTTTTAATGTTTCATAAGAGATTAATTTGATAAAAAATGAAAATGTCTATGACATATTTGTTTGTAAGATAGTTTTGTAATGTGTTCTAATGTTATTAAATTGGATTTAAGATATATATTAAGAGATTATTTTTAAACGAGAGTATTTTATAGAAAATCTCATGCTCTGTTAATAAATAAAATGGTCATTTATTAATTTTCATTGTTATTTAACTAAAATACATATAAATTAATAGCACAAATTCACGTAACAATGTTATATCAAAATCATGGATGTGTTTCATGTTTTAATATCTCTGCATAACAAGGCTAAAAATTTTATAGGCGATATATTGTATATACATATATTTATGTAATAATATGAAACATTTTGAATTTTTATATTTCTATTATATTATGTTTCAAGAGTCTAATTTTTATTACGAAAGATATTTAAATGATAAAATATTTAATAAATATATATAACAAAAAATCAATAACTAATTCATAACTTTATTAATTATTCTTTTATATATATCAAAATGCTGTCAGCAGTAATTATAGACACAAAATGCTAGCAGTTTTGTATAAAGCAACTAAGTATATCGTAACAAAATTTCATTTAATTTTAGGGAATGTCATAATTATTTGACGAAATTTGTCTAGCATATAGTCTCTTATGGGGAAACACTTACAATATGGTACGAAAATATGATAGATATATTTAAGTGACTAGATTGTGACTTTAAGAGCGATTCTCTTCATTGTGTATCCGTTTATAAATACATTCCATTAACTAAATAATCAGCGTCATGCGCGTAAGGACCATGTCCGCATCTACCACGTCGTTTCACCACTCGCAACCGGCAAACAATTAAAGCAGCCGTGATCGCAGTTGCTATGAGTCCTAGTGACAATGACACCACTGCCCCTTTGGGCCTTAAAACATCGTCCTCGATTATTTGAAGATGTTCCGCAATAATGTCAGTTTTTTCGTGCGCTCTTACGTGATGATCCTCGATTACAATTACATTTTTATGATCTGCAATAATATAAACCGTATCACAATAAAAAGCTAAATTAAATGCAGTGTTGCAAACATAATATCTTTACCTTTTGATTCTTTTGCATGATTATGCTTGATGATGTCACTTGCTAACAAAGTTGATTTTTCAGTAACTTGTTTGCTCGCTTTCGTATCAAATCCGCTATGTATCAAATGCGTGTTGGCTTTTTCTTTTTTCTTTACAAATTCTTTATTCTGCATCAACTCATTTCTATGTTCCTCTGAGGTCTATAATGGAATCATTATTATTATTATTATTATTATTCAAATATAGTTTTAAGATTTTATAATAAATACAATAAATTAAGTTGCTAAAAAAGATGCTTACGTCACAGACTGGTGTTGTTGTAATTTTAGCAGAATCTTCTACATTACCAGCTTGGTTATGTTGAGAATTAGGTGCAATGGATGGTAACAATTGTACCGGATTATTTTGCCAAGCTATCTTATTCGATGATGGAAAATGTGAAGTATACGGACGCTTAGAATCCACATATAGCTCTCTAAACATAAAATTTAAAAGTTAATGGAAAACTAATCTAATATAATCTCCTATATTTTAATAAAATGATTAAACCAAAGATCTTAATATTTCAAATTACCTGTTTGCTTCATTATTTCCTATAACGCTTGAACCTTTGTGATTAAATATATGTGGCTGTTCTAAAAACATACATTTACAATATATTCATAAGAGTTCTGATAAGAAAGAATAGAGACATATATAAATAATATAAATACATATGAAAAAAAAAATTATATTTTACGTACGTTCATAAGGATTTATATTTTGTTCGTGGAAGGTATTTACAGGAATATACAAATCCTTATTTTGTTCATATGGAGGCTGATAATCCCACTGGTATACTGATGAACCAAAATTCTTACGCATTTGCGGTAACTCCACCGGCTGACCAGGATACAGAATATTTTGCGGCTGCGACATTTGATGGGCTAAATTTGATATCTCCCAAGTTTTAGGATTGATCTCTGGCGCAGCAGGATAGAATGGAGGGAGAGGCTTACGCTCGACCATTTGCGGATATTGTAGAATATCAGCAGGTGGATGCGGCACCTGTATGTTTGGAGGAACAGTTGGTTTTTCCGTGGGACACACGAGATCGGCCGCTTCGTCAGAGCCGTCTGTACACTGTGGAATGCCATCACAAACGTTGTATATAGCTATGCAGTCTCCGGATGAACGACATTCGTATTGATTTCTGCTGCAAGCTGTTACATCCACAAGAGATATATATATTAATATCCATATACGTTTTTTTTCCAATGATTTATATAACTCGGAAATTCTTAACATTTGAAACAATACCTGGTTTAACCGATGCAGGTGTAGTCAGTATTACTTTTGGTATTTGAGTGACTATAGATTTGCTAGGAGTCTCTGTAAATCCATAACCCAATGTAATTTCGCTACCTTTCCTAAGGTATACAAAAATTTTGTTAACCAGAAAATTAAAAGAAGAAATATATTCAGTAGAAAGTATTTAAATACCTAAGTGATTTTAACTCGTGTTCCTGTTGAGATATCCTGACCTCTTCTTCTACTTGTATATTTTGTATGGGATAACTAGTACGTACAGCGCTGGTGTAATTAGCATGCCTTGTGAATTTGCACTTAAAATCATGCAGTGGGCCGCATTGAAAAAGATAGCAACTACCCGGTTTCTGCAAACATATTAGTTATGTATTTTTATTATATATATATATATAAACATATATAAACATGTTCTCTTTCTTTTTGTCTATTACTCTATATATATCCTATATATTATTAAATGCACCTTCTCTTCGAAGATAAACACGTCGCATCGTTCGGTTTCGCAGCAATATTTTAAACAATCCAGTCTAGAATCCACATCTGACACACTTAAGTACTTAGCACCCATGTCACGAGAGTCTTGAGTCTTGATAATTTTATCTCTATGAATGTCAAAGCTATCGAGGCACATCTGATAATTATTCGTACCGCCGTGTCTTTTCTCATTTGCTCTGCTCGTCCCGTCATCGCCGCAGCCACAGTGAAAAATCGCAATGAGAATTAAAAGAACGAAACGCGGCGTTTCGCGAAACATCGTTTCTCCTTACGCATCACACAACGCAAGTATACGATTTCGAGATGCGCACATCCGCGTTGCGATCGATAGTTTAATATTTCGCGATGAGTTTACCGCGTGTAGAGTATAGAAGCCTTTTATATACGATTAAACGACGCAACAAAACTCATTTTTTTCCAATAATCGCGCACTAGGCGATTAAGAATTAAGATTAAGGTCGTATCAGACCTCAGACCACGATGTATCATATATCAGACTGTACATTGACAGACCCAAAATTGAGATCAAAGATTCAAGATTGAAATTTGACCAATCAGGACAAAGAAATTTTAGTTCCTTTTGTTTCGATTAGTCAAATTCCGATTAATCAAATTCCAATCTTTAATCTTCAATATTTAATGCGTAGGCGTATATGCCGAGTGTACAGCTGTACAGTGTATATACTGTCAAAAGGTTTACTTTTAAAAATTGAGGTTACGTTTGAATTATTTTCGGTGTAATATTGAAATAAAGCTCGTCATGTCTTTGTACGACGATTTTGACAAGCATCGGACTTCGGAGAAGGTCGCTGGATGGTCTTCTGGTATTAAATTGCTGCAATCGCAATTGCAGTTGAAGAAGGCCGCCACAACACAGGTGAATTCATCATATGTATAATGTATTTAAAGCAATAAATTATTGCCATTTATAATAATTATCATATCGAAAAAAAGCATATGTAATAATCTCTGTTCCTTAAAAGATTCAAGATTGATTAACGAGTTTTTAATTATTTTCCTTATTTATGAATTTATAGCCAAAGCGTGAGCAATATAGGAAGGCTAGTGCGGTGCTAGCACCAGTGATAGACTTGAAATCAAAGACTAACCGCGATGTCGACAGAGAGGAACACGATAGCACCCATAATAATCCATTATCCACCGGTAGTGTGAGCAGTATAGGAATAGGTGATGAATTCGATTGGAATGTGGTAAATGAGTATGATCCCATGTGGCCCAATGAATATGAGAAAGTTGTGAAAGAATTGCGCGACATCAGAGATAGGGAGCATGAGACAGAGATGCGCAAACGTAGGAGGGATAATACTCGCTTCGAAGATACTCAAGTAATAAATGAAATAAGTCTTTAAGTATCTATAATATATAGTAATATTAAGTTGCTAAAAAAGATGCTTACGTCACAGACTGGTGTTGTTGTAATTTTAGCAGAATCTTCTACATTACCAGCTTGGTTATGTTGAGAATTAGGTGCAATGGATGGTAACAATTGTACCGGATTATTTTGCCAAGCTATCTTATTCGATGATGGAAAATGTGAAGTATACGGACGCTTAGAATCCACATATAGCTCTCTAAACATAAAATTTAAAAGTTAATGGAAAACTAATCTAATATAATCTCCTATATTTTAATAAAATGATTAAACCAAAGATCTTAATATTTCAAATTACCTGTTTGCTTCATTATTTCCTATAACGCTTGAACCTTTGTGATTAAATATATGTGGCTGTTCTAAAAACATACATTTACAATATATTCATAAGAGTTCTGATAAGAAAGAATAGAGACATATATAAATAATATAAATACATATGAAAAAAAAAATTATATTTTACGTACGTTCATAAGGATTTATATTTTGTTCGTGGAAGGTATTTACAGGAATATACAAATCCTTATTTTGTTCATATGGAGGCTGATAATCCCACTGGTATACTGATGAACCAAAATTCTTACGCATTTGCGGTAACTCCACCGGCTGACCAGGATACAGAATATTTTGCGGCTGCGACATTTGATGGGCTAAATTTGATATCTCCCAAGTTTTAGGATTGATCTCTGGCGCAGCAGGATAGAATGGAGGGAGAGGCTTACGCTCGACCATTTGCGGATATTGTAGAATATCAGCAGGTGGATGCGGCACCTGTATGTTTGGAGGAACAGTTGGTTTTTCCGTGGGACACACGAGATCGGCCGCTTCGTCAGAGCCGTCTGTACACTGTGGAATGCCATCACAAACGTTGTATATAGCTATGCAGTCTCCGGATGAACGACATTCGTATTGATTTCTGCTGCAAGCTGTTACATCCACAAGAGATATATATATTAATATCCATATACGTTTTTTTTCCAATGATTTATATAACTCGGAAATTCTTAACATTTGAAACAATACCTGGTTTAACCGATGCAGGTGTAGTCAGTATTACTTTTGGTATTTGAGTGACTATAGATTTGCTAGGAGTCTCTGTAAATCCATAACCCAATGTAATTTCGCTACCTTTCCTAAGGTATACAAAAATTTTGTTAACCAGAAAATTAAAAGAAGAAATATATTCAGTAGAAAGTATTTAAATACCTAAGTGATTTTAACTCGTGTTCCTGTTGAGATATCCTGACCTCTTCTTCTACTTGTATATTTTGTATGGGATAACTAGTACGTACAGCGCTGGTGTAATTAGCATGCCTTGTGAATTTGCACTTAAAATCATGCAGTGGGCCGCATTGAAAAAGATAGCAACTACCCGGTTTCTGCAAACATATTAGTTATGTATTTTTATTATATATATATATATAAACATATATAAACATGTTCTCTTTCTTTTTGTCTATTACTCTATATATATCCTATATATTATTAAATGCACCTTCTCTTCGAAGATAAACACGTCGCATCGTTCGGTTTCGCAGCAATATTTTAAACAATCCAGTCTAGAATCCACATCTGACACACTTAAGTACTTAGCACCCATGTCACGAGAGTCTTGAGTCTTGATAATTTTATCTCTATGAATGTCAAAGCTATCGAGGCACATCTGATAATTATTCGTACCGCCGTGTCTTTTCTCATTTGCTCTGCTCGTCCCGTCATCGCCGCAGCCACAGTGAAAAATCGCAATGAGAATTAAAAGAACGAAACGCGGCGTTTCGCGAAACATCGTTTCTCCTTACGCATCACACAACGCAAGTATACGATTTCGAGATGCGCACATCCGCGTTGCGATCGATAGTTTAATATTTCGCGATGAGTTTACCGCGTGTAGAGTATAGAAGCCTTTTATATACGATTAAACGACGCAACAAAACTCATTTTTTTCCAATAATCGCGCACTAGGCGATTAAGAATTAAGATTAAGGTCGTATCAGACCTCAGACCACGATGTATCATATATCAGACTGTACATTGACAGACCCAAAATTGAGATCAAAGATTCAAGATTGAAATTTGACCAATCAGGACAAAGAAATTTTAGTTCCTTTTGTTTCGATTAGTCAAATTCCGATTAATCAAATTCCAATCTTTAATCTTCAATATTTAATGCGTAGGCGTATATGCCGAGTGTACAGCTGTACAGTGTATATACTGTCAAAAGGTTTACTTTTAAAAATTGAGGTTACGTTTGAATTATTTTCGGTGTAATATTGAAATAAAGCTCGTCATGTCTTTGTACGACGATTTTGACAAGCATCGGACTTCGGAGAAGGTCGCTGGATGGTCTTCTGGTATTAAATTGCTGCAATCGCAATTGCAGTTGAAGAAGGCCGCCACAACACAGGTGAATTCATCATATGTATAATGTATTTAAAGCAATAAATTATTGCCATTTATAATAATTATCATATCGAAAAAAAGCATATGTAATAATCTCTGTTCCTTAAAAGATTCAAGATTGATTAACGAGTTTTTAATTATTTTCCTTATTTATGAATTTATAGCCAAAGCGTGAGCAATATAGGAAGGCTAGTGCGGTGCTAGCACCAGTGATAGACTTGAAATCAAAGACTAACCGCGATGTCGACAGAGAGGAACACGATAGCACCCATAATAATCCATTATCCACCGGTAGTGTGAGCAGTATAGGAATAGGTGATGAATTCGATTGGAATGTGGTAAATGAGTATGATCCCATGTGGCCCAATGAATATGAGAAAGTTGTGAAAGAATTGCGCGACATCAGAGATAGGGAGCATGAGACAGAGATGCGCAAACGTAGGAGGGATAATACTCGCTTCGAAGATACTCAAGTAATAAATGAAATAAGTCTTTAAGTATCTATAATATATAGTAATGTGTGTGGAAAGTATATGGAAATGATATTACATTACTACAATGAATGAATATAATAATAATAATAATTTTTTTTTTTTCTGTATGGGCACAGGCTGCTGGTGGTAATAGCACGATGATACCTCCCGAAAGAGACGAAGAGAGAACACCGTCTTCAAGAGGTGTGATTGGAGGTGCTGCCATAGCACCACCACCATCCTTACAAGAATCTTCAGAATTACCACCTCCACCACCACGACAGACGCCTAATTTAGGCTATGCAACATCATCCGTGGCTGCAAAGATAATGGCCAAGTATGGCTTCAAGGAAGGACAGGGTCTTGGTAAGAAGGAGCAAGGCATGTCAGTGGCATTGCAAGTGGAAAAAACGAGTAAACGTGGCGGTAGAATAGTCGGCGAAAGGGAGCAATTGATGCCTCCCCCACCACCAATTACTGCTTCTCCACCGCAAAATCAATTATTGTCGCAGCAGCCGCCGGTAGAAGAACCTAGCATTACCGAGATAATGAAATGTCCCAGCAAGGTCATTTATAACAATCTTATATTTATAATAAAATATATAATATATTTTTATAATAACATTACTTGTTGTATATGCATGTAGCTATTATTTGTTAAGCTTAATTTGTTTACTTGTCAATGTCTGTGTAGGTTGTACTTTTGCGCAATATGGTTGGTCCGGGAGAGGTGGATGACGATCTCGAACCAGAAGTGAAAGACGAATGCAACACCAAATACGGCGATGTTGCGCGTGTAATTATCCACGAAGTGATCGAAGCCACTCCAGAGGAGGCAGTGCGAATTTTCGTCGAATTCAAAAGGATAGAAAGCGCCATCAAAGCTGTAGTGGATTTAAACGGACGTTTCTTTGGCGGTAGACAAGTTAAAGCAGGATTTTATTCGAGCGAAAAACTCGACAATTTACAATTGATGGACTAGTTTCACATGTAAAAATTTCAAACATTAATTTTCTAAAAATACGCTCGTTTCTTCGCAAATTGTATAAATATTTTATATTTCCATTGCATGAAATATTATTTACATCTTACACTTAACAAATCTAGAACTATTTGTTTGACACAATTGTAAAAAAATAAATTTTTCTATTATATCTAACATTTAATTTTGCAATATCGATATGATTTCTATTTATTTTAACAATTTCTATTTCAATACATGTAAAATTTGAATGTATACTCGAGCCTTTGGATTATGTGAGATTTAAAATGCTTCTGTATGAAACTGATTAGGTATATGACTTGATAAAGACATTGCAGTTGAACAGGTAATTTTCAGATTTGTGCCTTATTCAGTAAATACGTTTTACTTACTTTACAATAGATTAAGGGCATTGGAATTTTAATAGAAGAATGAAGAGAAAAACCAAAAATAGATACAATTAAAACACTAGACAACATAAAAATAAAATATTTAACAAGGCCAAATATTACAAACATTGGTATATATATGAATATTCTGTATATATATTTTTAGTAATTATTTATATAATAATTTACATACAAACCGTAACAAATTATATTCCCATATAGGATATAATAAAACAAACTAAACATACAAACTTAAGCTATAATCCAGTATAAAATGTAATTTCTAATCAAAAAAATCATTAATCATTTGATTAATGTAGAACATAACATTATAAATATGCCCTGAAAAATGATACTTTAATTTTTTAATATTTTAATATCATTTTTATCAAATAGCCATTCCAAATATGTTTGATATTGTGCAAAAAAATTGAGAAGGATCGTTTAATTCCTCCCGAATAACATTATTTTGTTTTTTTGGTAATTAAGTCATCTATCGCTTTATTCAAGTGAACATTAAACGCAGCAAAACTGAATGTTCTTAGAAATCTGTCTTTACCAGATCTACCAAAGTCTTCAACACGATCCGGATTTGTGATGAGAAAAGAAATTTTTGAAGCAAAGGCCTCGGCAGATAAATCGACAAGAAAACCAGTTTCTCCAGAAACTATCGATTCCATTGGACCGCCGGATTTGTGAGCAATTACCGGCTTGCCTACATACATCGCTTCTAAGGGTACTATCCCAAAGTGCTCGTTTGGTGGTGTGTATATTACAATTTTACAATGATGAAGTATGGAAACTTTATCAATGTCAGAAGGTGAACGTAAGAACATCACTTTATCTGTTACATGTAACTCATCCGCGAGTCCTATTAATTCCAAATGGTACTCGACATTCTCCTCTACTCTCTTGTCATATCCACCAGCCATAATCAAATACACCCTTTTATATACTTCTTTCGTTAATAATTTTTCTAATTCTGCAAGAGCCTCTATTGCAAGTGACAACATTTTCTTACGCTCGTACCTATTGATCGATAATAGTACAATACTGTCATTTGGTAATTTCTTATCGAGTACCCTCTCTAGAGATACTATTCTTGTCTTGTCGAAAAAATCTGTATTAATAGAAGGATACAAAACTTCGGGTTCAATGTGTAATCTCTTGAATGTGCTTCGAAACACATTGCCTGTATAAATGCTATTTACAAATACTTTATGTGCCATGCCAGTTGTAATCTCTTCCAGATAATTCAATGGCATGCGATATAGCTGTTTGCCATAGCCACCAGGTTGCGAGAGCAGCTGATCCGGATGATGGCAGTAAAATATTATGTACGGAATGCGCAGTCGAAGAACGGGTATGCAGATGGACACCAAGTCGCAGAAGACAACTTCCGGTCGTCGATCGGAAAATATTATGTAGCTAGCTGCATATATCTAAAAATATCACAATTTTTTTTTTTTTTTTTTAATAGAATTACTTATTACACGTAAAATTTTGTTTGAGATCTTTTTGGGGGCAAAACTCAAGATTTTTTTCTAATTTTTTTTTTATCATTTCAATTATAGATATAACAGCTTGTTATTCTCCGACTTACCATACGTATGTAGGCACAGAGAGCGTAGAATCTGCCCAGGATGTGTCTAGGTAACCAGTTGCCCACGACGGTGACAGGAATTGTACCATCTCTGGTCTCTGAGAAACAATGGTCCGGGTCATGATGAGTTGTCACGAAATTCACGTCGTGTCCGTTCTTCTTCAAAGCCAGAGCGGCGTCGACGACCAGTCTCTCTGCGCCGCCGATACCGAGATCAGGATGCAGAAACGTAATGCGTGTCATCGTGTTCGCAAATGACGATCCGGTAAACGGCCGTCGTCACAGTACATTTATCGGAAAGTATAAAATTATCGCGAGGCAAATAACTGTATTCGCATTTTACCGGTCACCGCCGGTGATGGATTTTTATCGCTGCACGCCGGATATGGCGCTACCTGTAGCTGCAGCCTGTAGCGCTATCAGGTTATTCCGTTATTTCATCCGAGCAACGTCAAATAATATTTACATATTGGACAGTTTATTCACAAATCATTATTTAATTTATTGTGCTATTATGTTATAATTTTCGTTACGTCTATATAATACAGAAAGATTTGCAGATCTGTTTCTATTTGTTTCATAAAAACGACTTGTAGCTGTGATAAAAAAGATTTAGGATTTCTAAATATTTTAGAAACATCTATTGCATTTTGCAAGGTTAATACGCACGATGCATTTTTTCATATTATGGCATATTTTTACATTGTATTCGACGTAAGTTTGATATATCCAATAGTGTCCAACAACATTTTTGTCCCTAGAAAATAAACTCTCCTATTGGATATTACGTTTGATATCGAACCCAATATAGAACCGTTTCCCACGTCCCGATTGGACACAGATTCTCATCTGATTGGTTAATCGCGTTCAATATAGTAAAAATCCCTAAGCATCGATCGATGTGTATGCTAACTTATCATATGGTTTAGGGTGTTTTCTTGTCACTGCTTGTCATTTAACGAATAGTTATGTAGTTACGGATTACGGATAGCGGTTATGTAGTTACACGAATGAGTTTGTTAATAAACAATTCCTGGGAACTTAATTTTTATTGTTAATAAATGATCAAAGACACTGATAATCTGTTGAAGGGAAACAAGAGTTGCCATTTTTAAAAATAGGTAATTCTTTTCATTTAATTTTTATTATTATTAAAAAATATAATTATCATTCATTCTATGTACTAGTCATGTTTACTTGTAATCTTTTTGATTTCAGGCAGCAAGGATATGTAAAGCTCATAATTATAAATGATCTTTGATTAGATTTACTCTTAATATTCTCCATTCTTCATGTACTTTTGCTGCGTGGTGATCGAATAATATAACATAACAATGAATTTTGGCGTGAATTGGGAGGCTGAGCATCGGCGTGTTTTGTTGGGTGGCAACGCAGTGTTGGAACGTTCAGCACAATCGGTTGCGAGATCGCAAGCCGTCGCAGCGGAAAACGAGCAAATTGGGACAGAAGTGATCTCTGAGTTGGGCGAACAGAGAGAACGTCTTCTACGAGCAAAGCGAAGACTGTCGCAGACAGACGAAGAATTGAATAGAACGCGAAAAATTCTAAATGCTATGCGAGTGAAAGTTTTGACAAATAAAGCTGTCCTTATTCTAATCATATTGCTGGAACTGATTATTCTTGGTATAACAATATATTTAAAATTCTTTCATAAATAAATTGTTTATTTTATCGCTAAGCTCAGAGTTAAAGCATAGAAGAGTAAACATATATAATACAATATAATGTACATTACTAATTAATGTGTAGAGTTATAATTACTTTACCCAAAAATTTTTCTGTAATATTTTATAGAATAAACTGCAAAAAAAATATATATATGTATATATTGATATTTAAATGTAATTTTTTAACAATAGAATTTTTGTTTGTAAACATTTATCTTCAACCATTGTCTTAATTATAATCTGTTATGCCAGCTTTTCTATATCATTAAATAATTTCTCAAAATATTATATATTATACTAATTGTAATATACATGATTGTAATTGAATGTGTATATAATTTTATTAAAGTGTTGTAAAAATGTCAGAACAACACTTTGTTTATTCCTACATTTACTTATTACTTGATATATTCAGGGATATAGATTTCATTTTTTATTAACCTGTTTTTATACAAAGAAAAAAAGAAGTTCCTGAGATGGTTATTTTGCACGACGAGGAATATTATCGGAGTAGAATACCTGAACCGGATTTAGGAGCGTTTCGAAATTTCTTGCGATTTGTTTGGAATCCAGAGAGGAGACAAATTCTAGGCAGAACTGGGAAAGAATGGGGTAACTCTGTTTAAGTTATTTATTCTCAATTTTTTAAATTGTTGATCATAAAATTCTAATTGTTCTCTTGTAAATTAGCGTTACTGGGATTCTTCTATCTGTGCTTCTTCAGCATATTAGGTTCTCTCTTTGCATTACAAATGTGGATTAGTATTGATTACGCCTCGAAATTGGATAGGCCATTTTTCCTTTATGCCGGCTTGATGCCTAGATCTTATTTTGGCAGCAACTTTCCGCTTTTTCGCCAATTAAATTTCGGTAGTCCAGGTATTCTCTCCTTAATAAGTTTCTGTGACATCCATTTTTAATCTCTATTAACAATACATTTATGATATATGTATATTGTACTCTATCCTGTACAGGAATTGGCTTTAAACCGAATATCTTGCTGCCCACGACATCTCCTATTATCTGGGTGAATAATTCGAGCTCAAACGCACGACCAAAAAGATATATTGAGGCTTTGAACGATTTTTTGCAAGGTATTGCGAGATGAAAAAAAAAAATGCATATAAAATATAAATATAGCGCGTCGCAACATACATTTAGTAATAGTAATTAATATGTAACTATTAAATTGTATGAATATATTTTAAACAGCCGAAAAATATATCACTGTGCGTTTATATGTGTATAGCTTATAAAATGAATATTTTTTTTTATTTGCGAATGTCATAAAAAATTTGCTAGTAAAATATAGATAAAAAATTTAGAATTTATGATGAATTTTTTATTATAAAGGGAATTGTATCTTTTCTCTAATAAAAATAAAAGAGGTTTTTAATATAAGCATCATCCTTATTTCAGAATATAATAAGAGTAAAGAAAATTACAAAACGGCTGTCGAATGCAATGACGCAGCGCCGAACGTGTCCGATATGAAACCTTGTTTTTTTGATATTGAGAGCCTTGGCGTTTGCGGAAAACCTCCGTATGGATATACGAATCCATTGCAACCGTGTGTACTTATTAAGTTTAATAAGGTGAATAAAAAACTTATTTTTGCATATTTGTTAAAAAAAATATTTTATGTTCATACTTATTATATTTTTGTATTAGTAATTTAAATTAAAAAAAATATTTTTAAATTACTTATGTTACAGAGATTTGATTGGATACCAATTTATTATAATAAATCCTACCAATTACCGGAAGATATGCCAAGTGTTTTACAAGATGCTGTGCGATCTTCAAACAAGGTTTGATTCAAATCCCAATTTGCAATAATTTATATGTCAATTCGTGATTGATCACAGTGAATATATAATTAAGTGCAGCTTATAAATGCCTCGACCAACAAAATATATTTGGACTCGCGTACACTACAATTTATGTTATCATACAAAATAATTTATCTTAAACAGTATCAGATCTGGTTATGGTGCGACGGAGCGAATAACGTTGATAAAGAGCATGTTGGAGAAATTAATTATTTACCGGGTCCTGGTTTTCCCGTGCAATATTTCCCTTTTGTGGGACAACCGGATTATTTGGCACCGATGGTCGCGCTACAATTTACAAATATTACACGTAAGCCTAAATAATATATTACGATATCTACTTACAATATGAATAACAAATATTGTATACACATTTTATTGATATACGTTTTATTTGTTAGCATTCAGATTGGTGACGGTAGAATGCAGTTTATGGGCGCTCAACATAAAGAAAGAAGCACAGAGTGCATTGGATTTCCAGATAATTCTGGGGGAGTCGTAGAAGATGGTGAGTCGAGGAATATATTCGCGTATCTCAAATATTTATTAACAAATTTGCAGACGTAATAAGAAGGTAGATAGGACGAGCGTTTTAATTTGTGCAGAGTAAAAAATAAATGGTCTTTGTTCAAAGTTTCTTACAATTAGTATATATATATATATATATTATTCGTTCAGTTATAAATATTCTCGCCACCAATGATTCCTTTATTATATACCGTGTTACATTAATAATACATTCAATGTATTTTTCTGATATCGTTTCGTATGTAGAACGTAACATCTAAGGTATATTTATAATAAAAAAATGGGGAGCAGCGATTATATATGACAATGTATTTCTATACTTGAGTGAATCAACACGAGATTTAATGTTTGTGTCTTACGAATTGTCTCTGAGACTCTCTAAGCCAATTCTGTCGACAGAATAGCAGATCGAAATTAGAGAATTTTGTAGAACTTTATTTATATATTTTTATTATGTGAACGATAAAATGGCATGATGAAGCTTCGTTTATCGACAGACATATGCTTGTACCCAGAAGAAATGTGTCAAAATCGACTGTATATCTTGTTATTTCTTCTAAAATTAGCAGCGTTCACAAGACCAAGAAGGGAAAGATGAAGAAAGAGGCAAAAAGAGAAGGAAAAGAAAAGATTGAAAGAGAAATGAAAAGAGGAAAAATTAAAGTGACAAAGAGAGATAGATAGTAAGAAAGAAATATAGACAGATAATCAGAGAGAGAAAGAGAGAGAGAGAAAAGCAGAATAAAAAAGAGATAGAAAGGAAAATAAAAGTTAGCGAGAGCGAGAAAAAAAATAATAAGAGAAACGAAAAGAAAAGGACGAAATGATTTTGACAGAGACATTAAAAGAATGAAAGAGAGACAGTCTTTGGTCCGTTTAGATCGAACAATTCGGTAATTATTTTGTCGTTGTCATACTTTTGTCATTAATTAAATTAAATATTACCAAAAGAGAAAAAAAGTATCTGTTCTCTTTCGAGGAGAATTGTGCGAATCTGACGTTAATACGAGGCTTCATAAATCGAGGAACGTTTCCATCTCGAGGACATAACTCCAGTCGATCTTATTCTTCCTCTTCCTCGCCTGTGCCGGTCAACATGGCGATTAAACTCGCGGTGTCAATAAAACCTTTGTCATCGATGTACATCTGATCAAACGCATCATCGACTTCTTTGGGCGTAAATTTTTCGCCCCATGTCATTAAAGCGTGCCTTAACCTGTATAACAAATTAAAAAATTATATTATCTTCTATTATAATATCAGACCGTATATTTTATATACACATAATATGCTCTAACAAGTGTTAAAATGTGGATTTTAAAAGCCAATTCCATTCAGATTTGTAAACCAAGACATTTTTTGAGACTTGTCGAGCAGACAGACGTTTTTAGCAAAATTAATATTTAAAATTGATATATATAAACACGAGAATTATATGTCAAACTACATAGTATATAGTAATTAAAACTAAAATTTCAATCGTTAAAAGTTGTATAGCGCTTCAGTTATCGATATCAGCATATTGAGTCAGTCTTAGACCGTTCACAATGAAACATCATAGGCACTGGAAAGTGGAAGATTGTACGTATATTTTATATAATATGTGAGACGGCACTTGGACATGAATTGAAAAATGTCAACAATATTTATCGTTGTATTACCTTTCGCCATCAATTTTGCCGTTTTCGTCGAACGTCTTAAAGGCATTGATTACAACATCATCCTCATCGGCACCTGACGGAACAAGAAATTATTCATTTTTTCGGGAAATTATTCAAAATTCTCAAGATTTTCAATAGATCGTACGTACCTGATCCTGACATACGGACAGCGAACAAGTTCAACAATTGAGTGAAGTTGATGGGCGCGGCAGCTTCGTTGAGCATTTCATCGATCTCCTTATCGGTCGCGAGTCGGCCGACAGAGTCGAAGGCTGCGCGAAGATCATTTTTGCCGATGATACCATCTTTATCCGCGTCCATTAGCTGGAATGCCTAGGAATAGATACCGCGATCGAGTTAATGCGCTTTCTATTTTCACATCAACCTCTTACAATCTTTTACAATTGTCAATTTCTTCATCTCTAATCATTTACTTCGAGATGTGTATGCCAAATTAATATGAAATTACAATACAATTGCGAAAAAAATGCGGGGAATTTAATATTAAAATTAAAATCATCTACTACGGAAGAGGCTATCCTCGTATCCTTGAATTCATCCCTCGTTTTCGTACCTCCTTAAACTCGGCCACCTGTTTCTGAGAGAACATGGAGAAGACGCTGGAGCCGCTACGCTTAGCCTTGCGACTGCCGCGGCTGCTTGCTCTAGCAGAGCCAGATTCCTTTGGTGTTGGCGCCTTCTCCTCAACTGGCGCCGGCTCGGGCTCGGGTGCAGGAGCCGCTGCCTCTTCCTTCTTCTTGGTCTTCTTCTTCTTTTCTTTATCCGCCTAAAATGTATAAAATTTTACAAAATTTTTGTCTCTATTAAATTTCTCTCACAATAGTTGAGAAATACTTTATAATCAGAAATTTATTTTGTCTTCCATTTCAAGAAAAATATGTAAAATAATCCAATTTTTCATAAAATATGTGAAGGGCCACCGTGACCTCTCTCTCTCTCTCTCTCCGTCTCTGTAGATTTTCTTCAGAAAACATACCGCACTTTTTGCGAAAACGTCATTTTTTTAATTCGAGAATCGATCGACTTTATTGAATATTTTGAAATTAATAGATGACCAAAAAAATAAATAGTCAAATAAATGAAAAAAAAAAGATGCAATTAACACAGACGATAGAATGATGTGCATTTTGAAGAAAAATATGAATATTATTATTCTGTGCGATATATCATTATGAGTGTTGCTCCCTGTTGCTTTTTTTTCTTAAAATTTTGCGCAAACATTTTTACGCCAGATTTATTGTAATAGATAGGATAAAGTGCACATGTTATTTTACATTAAATATTCGAAAAATGAATTAAAATAAAACATAAAAATTATTTTGTCAATATATAATCATGCCGATTAATTTTAATATAAATTATAAATGAAATCAGAAAGAGCCAATTATCGGATGAGAAAATTTGCGAGGCGCTGCCGGCTGCCGGTCGATGCTAAGAATAGAATCGTTCCCTGAGTCGCGCGAAAAAGCTGCCAGGACGTATATAGAGCGATCATCCAGTTACCGCACTGCCTCTCGAATTACCATTGTTACGTAATTGTTATATTTTTACCATTATAATCACAGTAGTAAATGCCGTGTTAAGTCAGACAGTTCATTTTACCAGTTAAACAAATATCTTACATATGAAATAAAGAGGATGCATTTGTATTTCTTCTTATTATTTTTAAAATATAAACTAAATATTGTAACATATTACAGAAACATTTATTTTTATTTTTATTTAATTACAAATGTATTATTATATAGGAGAGCTTTCTCAATATTAGAGTGCATCAGGGAATTTGATTAATTTTTTTTTTGTTACTCTACAATAATATGGGGTGCCACGTTAAAATATTTATTTTTAATTTTTCATAATTTTCAACATTTAATTGCGCGCTCTGTTCGAAATGTTTAAAATAAGATAGTTTAAGAATAATATTTGTGAGATGAAAACAGAACATTTCGCGAATGTATAGAATTTGAAATCACAAATGATAGCTTATGATAGAACCTACAACAATCAAGGGATTCTAAGCGGCTGACGGGCAAAAAAAAAACTGACAAAGATCACTGCCGCATTCTCTCCATCATCACACATTCGCGATATTGATAACATAACGTCCTTGTCATCAACTCATCGTCACACTTGGCGTATATCTCGATGCACTCCGCGTATAATCCATCTTCGTGAAATACACCATCGTATTCACAATTTGGCAGTGTCCTATCTCGTGGTAGCAGTAGTATCTCGCATCACATAGACATGATACTTGATTTTTCGCGTTTCTCCGTAGATGTACATACTGTACATACGGTAGACTTTGGCGCGAATCCTTGAACAAGCGTAAAGAAAGGTTTTCTCGACGTATTACTTACCATAATATCTACGCTTGATTTCTAAGAGATGGATGATACGAGATGGTTACGACGAACCAACTGTCCGAATCATAGAGCTGAACTTGTCTAAGTAACTTTTGTGGATCTCCCCCACCAGACAGGCCGGAGGTTGTCCGAGCAGGGGTGCCCCGGGTACCCGGGTACAACGCCTATCTGACCATATTTAGTTCGAGTCGCCTCAAAATAGCGACCCTTTCGACGTTTCGACTAAAACAGTTTGCCTGGGAGTTGTAGAATTCAGATGACGACGGTGCACCGCGCTCTGTCGAGACCATGATGTTTTCTCACCGACATTTTCAATTTCCCATCGTGAGTTAATCGGTTAATCTGCGCCCCTCGTTCTCCGGAGATAAATTACATTTGGAATAAGCATAGTTATCTTCTCTTTATTTGATATAAATGTGCGGAACAAGAGATGGAGAGTTTTGTGCCGTTCTCATCTTCATTTTTTTCCCTCTCTCTCTCTTTGTCTTTCTTGAGACTACAAATTGTATATATTAAATTTACCATTTTATGTATAATTTTATTTAAATCGATAAAGAGAAGAAGAAGATACATTATCTCAAAATATTTCTTTCGAATATATAGTATCAAATAAGTTAATGTCTCCCTGATTCTAACTTGTTAGTTAATTATAATGATTTGTGCCATACAGTAATTTAGAAAATAGTGTCCACCATTCGTATATGTAAAATGCAATATATAATTGCTGACCGAGTTTTTAGTTCATAGCACGATATCCGAAGCACGTGGATACCAAAAATAACTGTCCGACTTATTCAAGAATGCACACACATGTATTCCTACATATATTTTACATATATACAATGTGCCACAAGTCTCTGTTTTTTGAAGAGGGGATTCAGATAATTTTTTTGTCTCATGTATATTTAATTAATTATTGTCTTTAAAATTTTTTATGTCCATTTTTTAAAACATCATAAACTTTAAAATTATTTTAAGGAGACACACAAAGGAAGTTTTGTTACTATACGCTATAAATATCGCGATAGTTATTGCGATTATTGCATTCGAACAATGTAGTACGAAACCATGCAACATATCTACGCTCAAATATCAATAATATAACGGATATCTATATTACATAATGCGCTTGATTAGATTCCGGTAACAGAGCGCAACAGTTCTATTATATCTATAAATAGTTTTATCATATATATATATTATGTTACATCTATAACTATATGTATTATACGATACCTTATTTTTTATTTCTATGCTTTATATTAGGTTACAATATTTGATATTTATCATTATTAAGAATATTACCATCACAAATATTTCCGGCAATAACGAGACGGACGTGCTACGATAGACATTGATGTCTGTAATAAATATTAATAGTATTATTTTTATCAGAGAATTATTATTATTCAATTTTTCTAATATGCTATTCATCTACTACATATAAGAGTTAAGTGAACTTACTTTTATCATTTGGGTCTCGTACACCACATTGCCGATGTCCCAATGTGCTTTTCCTTTTTGTCGGTATATAACCAGGAATATATAAACTAGGAGCTTCGAGTTTACCAATGGATATAAGCTTGCTAAAGTCTTGATCTAGCTTATTGGCAATTGGACCTGAAAAAATAAAATAAAAATCATAAATAATATAATTAATTAAATGTCTCATAGAATATTTAAATATCTCTCAACAAATCTTTACCTTTAAAATGCAAGAGAAATTGAATGCATGCGCCGTTATGTAATATTTTGGTTTTTCTATTGTCAATGGATAACATCC